TATGAATCAGATGAACCTAACAAATCTCTACAGAACATTTCAACCAGACACAGAAGAATATACTCTTCTTAGTACCACATGGAACCTTCTCCAAAAGTGGACCATATAGTTGGTCACAAAACAAGCTTCAATAGATAGAAGAAAACTGCAATAACTCCCTGTATTCTAACAGATCACCATGGATTAAAGCTAAACCTCAAGAATAACAGAAACAACAGAAAGCCTACAAACTCATGGAAACTGGACAACTCTCTACTTAATGACCACTGGGTCAGGGAATAAAGAAAGAAAGAAATTGGAGTCTTTATGGAACTCAATGATAGATCTTGATAAAGTCCACTCACCAAAATTAAATCAAGATCAGGTTAACAAACTAAATTGCCCTATAACCACTATTGAAACAGAAGCAGTCATTAATAGTATCCCAACCAATATAAAGGGCAAGAGTAGATGGTTTTAGCATAGAATTTTACCAAACCTTCAAAGAAGAGCTAATACCAATACTCTTTAACATATTCTACAAAATAGAAATAAAGAAATACTGTCAAACTCATTCAATGAAGCTATAGTCAACCTCATATGCACACCACAGAAAGATTCAACCAAGAAAGAAAATTTCCGACCAACACCACAAAAAGATTTAACCAAGAAAGAGAATTTCCGACCAATCTCCCTCATGAACATTGATGCATAAATAATCAGTAAGATACTTGCAAGCTGAACCCAAGAACACATCAAAAACATCATCCACCATGATCAAGTAGGTTTCATTCAAGGAATGTAGGGATTGTGTAACATATAAAAATCTATCAATGTAAACAAACTGAAAGAAAAAAAAATCAGCATCTCATTAGATGCTGAAAAAGCCTTTGAGAATATCCAACACCCCTTCATGATAAAACTCTGGGAGAGATTTGGAATACAAGGTCCATACCAAAACATAATTAAAGCAATATACAACAAGCAACATCAAATTATATGGAGAGAAACTGAAAGCAATTCAACTAAAATTAGAGACAAGTTTGTCTACTCTCCCCATATTTATTCCACATACTACTTAAAGTTCTAGCAAGAGCAATAAAACAAGTAAAGGAGACCAAGGGTAGAAAAATTAGAAAGGGAGAAGTCAAAGTATTGCTATTCACAGACAGATACGACAACATACATAAGTGACCCCCAAAATTCTACCAGAGAACTCCTACAGTTGATAAACACCTTCAGCAATGTTACAAAACTAACTAAAAAAAAATCAGTATCCCTCCTTTATAAACAGGCTGAAAAAGATATTAGAGAAACAATAGCCACAAATAATATATAGTATCTTGGTGTAACTCTATTCAAGCAAGAGAAAAAATCTGCAGAAGGTATCAGAAGATGGAAAGATCTCCCATGCTCATGGATCAGTAGGATTAACATAGCAAAAATGGACATCTTACCAAAAGCAGTCTAGAGATTCAAAGCAATTCCCATCAAAATTCCAAAACAATTCTTTACAAAAACTTGAAAGAACAGTTTTCAACTTCATCTCGAAAAATAAAATAAATAAATAAAAAAAAATAAAAACCAAGATAGCTAAATTAATCCTGTACAACAAAAGAACATCTAAAGTCATCACCATCCCGACTTCAAGCTTTACTGCAAAACAATAGTAATAGAAAGCACAGTGTTGGCATAAAAAAAGATAGGTTGATCCATAGACTCTAATTCAAGGCCCACAAATAAATCCACACACATACAGACACTTGATTTTTGACAAAGAATTCAAAATCATACAATGGAACAAAGAAAGCATCTTCAACAAATGGTACTGTTCTATCTGGATGTCTACAGGTAGAAGAATGAAAATATATCCATATTCACCACTCTGCACAAAACTTAAGTCCAAGTAGATCAAAGACCTAAATATAAAACAAGATACACTTAACCTAACAGAAGAGAAAGTGGGGACTAACCTCAAACACATTGATACAGAAGATAATTTTCTGAACCAAACACCAACACCTTATGCTCTAAGATCAAAAATTAATAAATGTGACCTCATGAAACTGAAAAACCTTACATCCAATAGAGGGATGATATCAAAATATATAGAGAAGCCAAGAAATTAAATACTAACAAAACAAATAAACAAATTTAATAATGTGGTACAGAGCTAAACAGAGAATTATCAACAGAGGATTTTGTAATGACCAGGAAGCACCTAAAAAAATGCTCAACATATTTAGTCATCAGGGAAATGCAAATCAAAATGACTGTGAGATTCTCTTACACCTGTCAGAATGGCTAAGATCAAAACTCAAGTTGCACCACACGCTGGCAAAGGAGTGGAGCAAGGGGCATACTGGTTGCAGCGCAGACTTGTGCAACCACTTTGGAAATCACCTTGGTGGTTTCTTACAAATCAGTAATAGTTCTACATCAAGACCCACTTATATGCCTGGGTATATATCTAAAAGATGCTTCATCATACAACAAGGACATTTGCTCAACTATATTCATAGCTGCCTTATTCGTAATAGACAGAAACTCGAAAGTACCTAGATGTCTCTCAATCAGAGAATGGATAAAGAAAACATGGTACATTTACTTAATGGAATACTATTCAGCCATTAAAATCAAGGAAATAATGAAATGTGCAGGCAAATGCATGGAACTAGAAAGGATCATGCTGAGTGGGGTAACCCAGATCCAGACACACATGGTATTTATTCACCTCTAAGTATGTATTGGTTATATAGTACATTATAACCATTCTACAATCCACAGACCCTAAAAAGCTAAGTAACAAGGAGGGCCCAAAGGAAGAAGCTTGAATCTCACTCAGAAGGAGAAATAAAATAGACATTAGAAGTAGATGAAGAGAGGGAACTGGGTGGGATGGAGATCAGTAGGGAAACGAGATAGGACATAAGGTTCAGGAAATTGGGTGTGGAAGGCAGCAGGCCCTGGAGAGATATGGGAAGCCAATGTGGGTAGAGGAGGATCTCTGTGACAAGCTGGAAACTTCTGACACGATAGGGTCCTGGGAGGATATGGGGTGACTCTAGATGAAACTCCTAGCAGCAGGGGATGTGGGGAATGAAGTGACCCCTTTAGCCTGTCAGGACTTTCAGTGGAGGGAAAGAGGCACTAACCCACTCACAAAGCTTTTTGACTCACAATTTACCCTGCTTGCAAGATGTGCAGGGGTAAAGATAAAGCAGAATTTGAGGAAATGGCAAACTAATGACTGGCCCAAGGTGAGACCCACCCCATGGGAAGAGGACCAACCCCTGTCACTTATTAACGATACTCTGTTATACTTGCAGACAGGAGCCAAGCTAACTGTCCTCTGAGAGGCTCCATTTAGCAATGGATCAAAACAGATGCTGAGACCCACTGCCAAGCATTATTAGATGGAGCTCTAGGAATCTTGTGGAAGAGAAGGATGAAGGGACCCAAGGGGGACAAGAACTCCACAGATGACCAACAGAGTCAACTAACCCAGCCCATGGGGGCTGACAGAGACTGAGTCACCAATCTAAGTGCGTGCATGGACTGGACCTAGGCCCTCACACTTATGGAGCTGATGGACAGTGAGGTCTTCCAGTGGGTCTTTTAAAAACTGAAGTGCTGGCTATCCTTGAAATGGACTTTGTTGACTGCTGCTGTATCACACTCCTCTACCTGGGGAGCCTTATCTGGCCGCAGTGGAAGAGGAGGTGCTTAGTCCTGATTTGGGATTGTACCCGATGGGGGGCCTTATCTCTGAGAAGAAGGGGATGTGGACATGGGAGAAGAGGGTGGGAGGATAGGACTGGGAGGAGAGGAGGGAGGGTCCTGCAATCGGGATGTAAAATGAATAAACAAGAAAAGTGAAGACAGAAAAGAAATGTAAGAGGCAGAAGACAGAGAAGAGATGCTACGCAGGGCATGACAAGGCCATTGCAAACTCACAGCAGCTGTGGTTACCTGCACCAGACCTGCCAACAGGAATTCATAGATTAGGAACGGGACCATGGGGAACTTTAGATTCTAGGGGAAAAAGAGTCATTCTTTTAGTTGTTTACGAAATGGTTGAGCCCACTAGTTTCTAATAGTTTGTTATAAACCTATAGTCACACAGAGAACCTGGATAAAATTTATGGGTCACACAATAAAAAACAAAACAAAAAAGATAAACATAGAATGGGGACTGGTTGGGGTGAATCCAGGCTACATGGGTCAGAGGAAATTAAGATATATGAAATGTTGAACAAATATAACCAATAAAAATGATTTAACTTCCAATATAAAATATTGGCTAAAGTTTATGTGTTCCAACAAATGGTATGCTGTCCTGAATAAGAAAGAAAATGTCAGCAACTGTTGTCTACAGCAGATATTTTTCTTGGACCTGGCATCTTTCTCCTGAGTTAGTGTTTTTCTTGGTTTCTACCCTCTATTTTAATTTTAGTATTTCAAGCATCCTCTGCACCTACTCATATCTAAAATCTTTCCTGATCCCTTCTCACACATAGCAAAACAGCCCCTCTTCTCAACAACAGAATTCGTTGCCTTTATTTGAACATATTTTATTGCTTATTGTTGTAAACCACAGTATCAGAGTTGGTTAACATTTGTTGGATTAGTGCTATGTGCCCAATAACAAGGAGAAGACTTTAACTTATTAAAGAGGATATTTATCCTGCTTAATAATTAGAAGTATGGGTTATGCATCTATAAATTCTTGTTCTGTAGCTTAGGGTACAGCATATAGGATGTCATCCATAAATATGTAATGAAATAGTTTAAACTAATGTAAAAGTCAGAGCTGTCCTTAGATATTCTTGTCTAGTTGTCCACCAAACTGAAACCTGTGAATACAAGTAGCTTCTCCAAGGATGTACTGCAAGTAGTACATCTGCCTAACGGATGAGTGAACGGTTGAATTAGAGATAGCTAGGTTTGCTGAGTCAAGAGTACAGTGTTATAAAAATAAATATCTCACTTTGTGCAGCATGTAAAAGCTCATTCATTACCTGGTTAAATCCAGTAATTGAAGTTCAGAAAAATTAGAGAAGCTATGGCTTCCTAAGATCTTCAGGGGGTTGAAGCTCAGATCTAAGTTCTTGGTTGAAGAGGGGATGTTTTCAGGGATTTTGTTGAGATTCTGTTCCATACATTGGTATGTAATATTAGGATCCACCTGTAAATATCACACAACAAATGTATGTTCCCAGTTGCACGTGTTCGCAATGACAAATAATGGGGTGTGAATCTCTCATGCATGCATGCCAGTCAACATTCCATTCTTCTAACCATCCATTCATTCAGTTTTATTTTGTTTGAAATACAGTCTCATTTAGTCAAGTTTGGCTTAAATTTGCTATACAGCCAAAGATGCCATTGAATTCCTGATCTGCCTCCACCATAAAAGTGTTGGCATTACAGGTGTGTGACTTCACATCCATCCAAATCCATTCATTTATATACCATCTCATGTTAATAAAATGTCTTATTCTATACATTAAGAAGAAAAAATTTTGAGATTATGATTACAGCATTTCCCTTTTCCTCTTCCTCCATTCAAGTTGGACACAGCTTTTGTTTGTTTACATGCTGTTTTTATTTGTTACATCTTCATTGAAAAAAAATCACAAGTTTTATTTAAAATACAGCTTTTTGTGCATAGCTTTATGTAAAATTATTCTCTTTCTAATTACTTATCCTCATATACAGACACACAGAGAGTACCAATAAAGATGTCCAGACATTTCCTAGTTGCCACTCAATTTTTGACAATGGCATTCTCTTTTTTTGGCTCATTGACCTTACTAACTTGGAATAGGAATCAGAGACAGTCTTAGAGTGCATGGATTCCAGTGGTGGAAAACAGGACTCAAGGGCAAATGCTTATGGGCTGTGATAGTCTCCACATAGTTTTATTTATTCCCCAAATTTACTATAAACCCTATACCATAATCTTCCATCTAATTTCATAATTATATCATTTCTTTCATAAAAATGCTTTATTTAACCCAGTGAGTTTTGTTTTCTTTTATTAAAAAGCAATAGAATTCCCCAAAGACTAAATGAGATCAGACTTTATCCCAATGCTTGCTAGAAGGAAAGCAATAAATATTAATGTTAAATATCATTGGCTATCATTGATTTCTTGCTAAACTTACACCTTACGTTGTTTATACTAAACTTCAAAAAATCTTTTAATAATAGAGATTGGGTAATAAACATATAGTTAGAAGATTTGCATGGGCCCTTTCATGTGCCTGCTTAAATGGGACTAAGTATAGAATCCTTGAGGACCATGTGTTTAACAGAGTCAGGTGCGGGGCAGGAAGTCTTCTCTCATCCTCTTAGACACCCTTCACAAGTTTTGATCATCAGGGAGCTTTGTGTTGCCTACGTAGTTATTTCCCAAGTGTTCACTTGATGAATTGGACCATGAGCTTTGATGCTCTGATGATTTTGTTTGCTATTTTGTCTCCAAGGCTCAGAAAGGTTCATGGTTACCTATGTTCACTAGAAATCTGGTAGATGAGTGAACGATAAACACTGTGTAACTGATAGAACAGAAGTCTACAGAAGCCAAATGGTAGCTTTTTTTTTTTTGCTAAGGACTATGGGCAGTACAAAAATACATGTTATAGGATTCTAGATGGCTTTGAACTCAAAGACTCAGCTAACAGAAAAGCAAAATGAATAATACCTACAAGAGCTGCAAAGCTTGATCTAAGTTCTAGATCCAGAATGTAAGAATTGAGCAAGAGATGCATGTGTGGAAAAGTAAAAAAGAAAAGCTATATCATAATGAGACAAGTACATAAGCAAATAAGGGGTGGGAAGAATTTCTGACAAACTGGCTAGCAATAGGCAAGAGCTGAGACTCTTGATCCATGGGTGCCACAGCCCGGACATGAGAGCATCAGAAGTAGTCCAGCAGCCGTTCTTCCATCAGCTTCACACATACAAAATGAAGAGCTATTATGATTTAGGCCATTGGTTCTCAGCCTGGGGACTGCAACCCATTTGGGGGTCAAACAATCTTTTCACAGGAGTCACATATCATTTATCCTGCATATCCGATAGTTACGATTCAAGACAGTAGCAAAATTATAGTTATGAAGTAGCTATGAAAATAGTTTTATAGTTGAGGGTCAGTACAAACCAACGAACTGTATGAGTGGGTCACAGCGTTAGGAAGGCTGAGAACCACTGAGTGATTGCTGGCATAGTGACAAACCCAGCAGTAACCCTACCTTCTTGTGGATTCTACACAAAGGGAAAAATAAAGAAAGAAAAAAGATGAAAGTACAAAATTATACGATCAATGAAAAAGCATACTGAGAGATCAAAGGCAGAGATCTCCATGAGGCAATCAAGAAAAACCACTCTGAGGATGAGACACTTACACAGAGATCGTCACAAAGTGGAAAAATAAATCCTGAAATCAAATCTCTACATTCCAGGCTTAGTTATAATCCACACAGAACAATGTAACATGAAATAAATAAACATAAAATAAATAAAAGTGTATGATAAGCAAAAAATATTGTTGAATATCTAATATGTATACCAAACTGGAACATAAAGTATCTTTTTAATAGTTGAACCATAGCAGGGAGTGGTGGCACATTCCTGTAATCCCAGCACTGAGGCAGATAGATCTCTGTGAGTTCGGCCAGCCTGGGCTTCAAAGTGAGTCTTGGACGGCCAGGGCCACACTGAGAAACCCTATCTCGAAAAAACAAAAAACAAAACAAAACAAACAAACAAAAAAAGAGAGAGGAAAAAATAGTTGAATTGTATTTGATGGCATAAAAATATTACTAAAGCTGTCTTTACCCTTTCTTTTTAAGTTTTCAATCTGAGCATTAGGAAATGTGTAAGTTATTTAAGGAGATTTCATAATTTTACCATAAGAGAGCGCTGATCCAGGGAAGGGACAGCTTGAGTAGGGCAAACAGTCGGAGCATGTGTGGGATGAAGTAACTATCATGACACTGAAGAGTTATTAGATAGTTGTAAAGGAGTAATTTGATAGATCCCAGCTTCTAGACCAATGATAAAACAAACAAAATAGAAACGAGTGTAAATTAGGGAACTAGTCATCACCTCTGGCGGTAAGGCCCTAGGCCTATGGAAAGAAGAGGCAAGCTTTGAGGGTTGACAGAATATCGTGCACAAGCCAAGGCCAGAGGAATTTTATCTCAGTTTGACACTGATTGGAAACTTGATTTCCATCAGCATAACTAAAGAATCAGAAAGCAAACATACTGAGATGGCAAGAAGTTAGTCTTTTTAATAAGTAACGGTATTTTTTCCTTTGCCAACATTATGAGTCTTAACTCAGTATACCTCTCTTGAGCTTCTGAGCCCACCTCACCCTGACTACCTTCCTTGTTTGCTCAGTTCTATTGTGAGCTTCTAAGATAATTGCCTGGTCTGTGCGGTAAAAACACGAATTAGTCATGAATCAGATTACTCACTAGTCAGTATTTTACCAAGAAGGGTGTCATTGCCTTAGCTGATGTTCTACACTGCTTTGTATGTCTCTCTCTCTCTGTCTCTCTCCTTCCCTCCCTCCCATATCTTTATCTTCCAGAATTAGTTGCAAATTTCCAAAATCCCAGTTAGAAAATCCTTTCCTTGTTTTAGAAATTCTTTTATTTTTTTAAAGTGTTACATTTAAACACTTGTGTGTGTGTGCGCTCATGCATGCACACACCTGCCTAGACAGACACTTGGAACTCAGAGGACCTCTTAAAGGAGGGATTCTGTGCTTCACCCGTGTGGGGCCTGGGGATTGAACACAGGTCATCAGGCTTAGTGGCAGTTGATTGATCCTCTGGGCTCTATTCATCAGAGCCGCTTCTTCAAAGAGAGAAATGACAGCCACCCTCACCTGAGTTTGAAAGGGAAGGAATGACTGCGAAAAGCGGAGTGTCCAGAGTATCCACAGAAAGGCCTGATAATAACAGCCTTCTTAAATCCCTCTAACAAGCACTATGATTTTTTTTATAATGTGAAAAAAAAATGGCCTCAGAGAGGTTCAGTAACTTCTTTGATGTCATTCAGCTGGGTCACAGAACAATGACTTTAAACAAGTTTTACTTATTTCAAGTCTCCAAGTCATGACTCAGAAGTTCATAAATAGAACAAGACACCACTGGCTGCCTGTTCCTGCCCTGTTCACACTGAGTCTTTTTGTTTCCACAGTTTCTCAAGTTTTTGGTTAGTATAACTCTTGTGAAAAACAAACTTAACAGAATACATAGCAAGAAGCTTGGCGCTGGGGCCAGTTTTGAGAAACAAGGTAGGCTAGCAGAAAAGGAGCTGCTGATTAAGACACATACCTCTACGCAGGGATCCAAACTTTCAGATCTCAGGCAGGAGAGGAACAACGCCATGATCAGAGTTCCAGCCAGGAGCAAGGGAGGCATCATCCTGGCATTTTCTGCAACCAGTGGAGGCCGTGAGAAAGCATGACGAACTGTAACCGTGCAGGGCAGAGTCCCTGGGGCACCTGGCTCTTCTCTCTCTATGGGTGCCCCTCCGCAAGCTCTGTATTCAAAGATGTTTGGCTAAAGGGTGAGAGGAAGTGAGAGTGGCAACCTTAGCATTCTCGTTTTGTTCTAGAATTTATCTGCCCTGTCTCAGGAGGGAAGTAAAAAGATGAAGAGTAGAACAGGAAGGAGAAGGCGTTTGCTGACCAGGGGCTGGAGAAACAGCAAGAGGAAGCTGGCTTTCATCCCAGGAAGTCATCTGACCTCTGTGTTCAGGGAATGAAAAGAAGTAACTAGATACTCTGCCAGTGCGCAGGCCTGGAGGAACATCTGCATTCCTGTTTGGTTTTCAGTGGTGGAGACTTACAGCTCCAGCCAGACTTCAAATCTTCCCCAGTGCACTACGACAGACTGGATGTTTCAAACTACAGGAATGTGTTTTCTCACAATGCCAAAGGCTAACAGGCAGAATCAAGATGTCAGGAGGTGTGTCTATATCCTGATTTCTGTGTTTCTGTTACCTGTTTATGTGTATATGTCTGTTCGTGGAGGGATGGATGTGTGTGTGTGTGTGTGTGTGTGTGTGTGTGTGTGTGTGTGTAAAATCAGAGCTCACTATTGAGTGCCTTCAGTTGTTCTCAATCTTCTTTTATTATTATTAATTAATTACTAATTACTATTAGAAACAGGAACAGAAGACGGTTTATAAACAAAAGGGAAAACATTCCCAAAAATACGGGTGAGTTAGTGAGGTGAGGAAAAACTCAGAAAACTCCGCTAGCTTTTTGGAGCCAGGATCTCCAACTGATCCTGATGCTTGTTCATTGGCTAGACTGACTGGCCAGGAAATCCTTGGAATCTACCCATTTCTACCCTCTCTTCCCAGTACCCAGATTCCAGGCACATGACATATCTTCTAGTTTTACTAACTGAGCTGTCTCCCTGGTCCTGACCTCTTTTAAAAACAATACTAATTATGATATGATATGATATGATATGATATGATATGATATTATTAAGGCAGACCCATATGACAGGGTCTTTCTGGTCCTTGACCTCTTTTAAAAATAATATTATATTGTATCAAGGAAGACTCATATGACACTATTTTATTTTGATTATCTCATTGAATTGCAGTCACAGGATGAGGCTCTGGGAAATGAGTTCTCACATTGCAATCACAGGAGGAGGCACAGTCTCGGAATCTTGAGGAATAGTGCATCCTCTACAAGGGGCACTTCTGGTGAAGAAATGCCTACGTATGAAGCTGACTGCAAGGTTCCAGTGAAACCCCTTGAGGAGGCCACAAAGGATTCAGAATCGTGTTTACTGAAGTCCAGTCCAGGTCAGATGACATGACCAGGCCACACTGCTCAAATGACTTTACTTCCAAGTCTTGCTTTCTGCCCTGTAAATCCAAAGACATTTTAGCATTATTTTTGCATATCTAAATACTCATGTTTAGAACACTTGGTTTTAAAAAGCTATGTAATTCATCCTGGATCATCTGTGGGTTCTCTGTGTCAGGGAAGCTTCTGATAAGTAGCTAAATATAACAACCACAATTGAGAGTTCAGGGAACTGGTCCGAAGAAGGACCTTTTCTCCCAAATTCCCTTTTCCCAAAAACCGAAGGCCTCAACAAAATGGTGTATAGTGTCCACTCCCACAGAGAGACTGTGTCCCTTGTTCAGATTCAAAGTCAGTCAGCTTCAGAGGAAAAGAAAAGAAACATGATGGCAGTCAAGTTATACAAGCTACCAACTCTTCATCTGCTTCTTTTAAAATGAACGTATGGAGATAGCTCCGCAGTCAAGAGTGATTGTCGCTCTTCGGAAGGACTGGGGTTTGCTTCCCAGTGCCTGTATGGTGACTCACAACTCTCTGTAAGGCCAGCTCCAAGGAATCTGTTGGCCTCTTCTGGCCCACATGGATATTGCACATGATATACCCGCAAATATATAGGTCAACACGTATACATATATGAAAGTAAATAAATCTTCAAATAAATAGAAGATAATTGCATTTATCCTGCATGATTGAATTAAACTAGCAATTGCATAGATTCTCATTACACCCCATAAAAGATAACTATGGCAAGTGTAAAAAATGTGGGTAAAATAGGCATAATCATACTTCCTCAAAGATCTGCTGAAAAGCTTTTAGAGCAATGTTTGCGGAAAGACAAGGCCACTATAAAAACATAGGTTAAATATTACTGGACCATTTGACACCCAAGATATGCTTTAAGTACCTTAAAGCTAGTCTGTTTACAGCCACGCTGTAAAAGAGCAGATCACAGGTGCAGATTTATTCAGACATTCCTTTCCAGAGGATCTCTGGAAATTGTTGGACACCAGTCTACCTACAAGTTCAGTAAAAGAGCATGTTCCTTGGGAATAAAGTACAAAGTCGAACATCCAAGTCTTCTCTTGTCCTTCATATGCAGACAAAGGCATGTACACACACACACCATGGGCACATAATATACATAGCCTCTCAGTTTAAAGGACAAAATTGAAGGCTATCTTTTCAAAGTTAATCCTCTCCTGATCTATTAATCTCACCACACACAAAGGAAATTTGTCAAACTCCGTAAGCTGCAAACACAAAATAATTCTAAATTATAATTGCTCATTGTTATCCATCACTGAATATGCTCCCTGGCCTAGGCTAGTGCAGTACACTGTACATCACTCTTTTTAATTTTTTTATTTATTATTTATTACAGTTTATTCACTTTGTATCCTGGCTGTGGCCCCCTAATCCGTAATCCCTCCCTCCCTTCCGTTTTTCCTTCTATGCCCCTCCTCTACTCCAATGATAGGGGAGGTCCTCTTCCCCTTCTATCTGACCCTAGCCCATCAAGTATTACCAGGATTGGTTGCATTGTCTTCCTCTGTGGCCTGGCAAGGCTGTACCCTGCTAGGGGGAGGTGATCAGAGACCTTACCTCTGAGTTCAGAAGGGCAAACAGACATCGGAAACAGGAGAAGAGAGAGAACAAGACAGGAGCCTGTCACAGAGGTTCTCTGAAAGACTACTGATTGGGGTATCGAATCAGAGGCTGAGACTAATAGCCAATTTCTGGACAGAACACACAGAATTTTATGAAAGAAGAGGGAGATAGAAAGACCTGGAGGGGACAGGAGCTCCAAAAGAAGACCATCAGTAAAATCACTCATAAAGAATCCAGACTCACATTTTCTGAAGTCTCAACTTTTCTACCATCTCTTTTGTTCGAATCAGTTTTCTCTGTAAAACATGCCAAGTAGACTATATCTTAACTGTGTTAGTAATAGTGCTTGGACTAAGCCTTCACTGACACCCCAGAACCACAAACACTTCACCGAAGAAGTACAAACAAATGTGTGTTAATTAAGTAGCGCTTAGTAATGAGTGTATCCACTTGCTAGGATACGAATATCCTTTCTTGCTTCCATTCATAGGAGGTCCCTGAGTGGTTAAAATGAAGCCTACCGGAAAGAATCAGAGACTCCCTACTAGTCTATGCCTCAGGAGGGATTGATACACATACGTTATATATATCTTCATTGAAAGCTGTTCTAACTGCGGTAGGAATATTCTGAGAGTGCTTTGCATAGATATTTCTTTCTTACAAAAACCTAATGAGAATAATTCACTAGCCTGTATTGACTTTAACCAGGGTATTTCAGTTTGGTGAGCCTCTTCTAGAAAACAGGCCAAGCACAAAATAGAAGAGAGAAACCTTAAGCAATCAAGTTTTATTTGTTTAACCAAAATAAACATAACAATGCAGTTTTTCGATGAGTAATATATTGCGGTTAGTTACCATCATGAGCTCAGTATTTATATCACAATGGAGAATACACTCATAGGAAGCCACTTAGTTTCTTACATCATTATTGTGCAACAGGTTCAACTGAAAACCTATATCACTATGCCAATGGAGGAATCTCATCTCAGCCAGAGAAAAGTGAGCGTCTGTTCAAACCGGGCAGATACTGAATACTCCGTAATAAAGTATGTGTGTAATAAAGTACACATGACCAGTGGTATATTAATGAAATTTCTATGATGACATAACATCTATATATGTAGATAACATAATAGAATCTTTTTTTTTTAAAGATTTATTTATTTATTTATTTGTTTATTATGTTTGCAATTTTCTGCCTGCATGTACACTGAAGGCCAGAAGAGGGAACCAGATCTCATTATAGATGGTTGTGAGCCACCATGTGGTTGCAGGGAATTGAACTCAGGACCTCTGGAAGAAAAGACAGTGCTCTTAACCTCTGAGCCATCTTTCCAGCCTTAGATACTTCTTATGTATAATTCTTGCTTATGAAGTGATCAATGAGAATATTAATGCATGGAAATTCATGGACCAGAATCTTTTTATTTAATTGTGATGCTACATTTGATACATAGCCTTGGAGTTTTCTGCAATGTTTAATGGTGATGGATCTTCTCCATGCTTCTCCAAGAAAGTTCAAGGAGAAAATGGAGAAAAAGGCAAGGAATAGAATACTAAGTTACAGCCAATCGAAAGAGCACTCTTCCTAACAAAAATTAGATTACTAATGGCTAAAGTTCAAAGCTCTCTGGCTGCAAGATACTTGTCAGCTTTTTCTGGTAAGGGTCCACCAATTCACTCTAACAACAAGCGAATTCCAAAATATAACCAACTGGGCTTTGCTTGTTACAACCTAAATTGACAAAACTGAACCCAAACATAAAATTTTCTTGTCTCTTTATTTGATTTTCATTTAAAGGCTTTGAGTTACAATAACATGGATTTGAAAAAAAAAAAAAAGTATTTGAAGAAATTGGTGAAGGAACATAGACACAAAGTAAAAAGAAAAAGGCAAATCTCTGAGTTTCCAATCAGCCTAATTTACATAATAAAAGCCATGATGGCAACTCCTGCTGTTTAGCCACGTGCAGAGATAGTCTAAGATTCAAAATGACAAAATTTTCCTTAAGGTTACCATGTAAGTTCTTTTTCTTAATAATAGATGTTATGTCCTTACTGATTTAAAGGTTGGATTCACATCAATTTTAGGTTTTTGTTTGTTTGTTTTTGCTTTTTCTTTTTATTATTAGTTACATTTTATTAACTCTGTATCTCAGCTATATCCCACTCCCTTATTCCCTCCCAATCCCACCCTCCCTCCTTCATCTCCTCCCTGCCCCTTTCCAAGTCCACTGCTTGGG